CCGCGGGTCGCCGTTGCGTGAAAATATGCATGGTGCATTGGAAATGCATTGGGAACTGCAACGATAGGGTAAAATGGTGCACCACCTCGGACATAGTACAATTTTGAACAAGAGATGAGATTTCGAGCCAATTTCGAAGTTTCAGTTTGGTAATCCAATTGTGTGGAAGGTACTAAAGACAGGCTCTGTCAGACAGGAAACAATCAAACTTGAATCTCGAAAATTCAAATCTTATTTCAGAATTGTAAATTCCCCATCCTAAAATTTCATTACTTTTCCCTGATATACGGACAAAATTTCATTATTTCCATTAACATTAAATTTTTTTTTTTAAATTTCCGTCCAATCTTGAAACCGTTAATTATTTTATCAAAAGAGCAATTAAACATAGCAACGTAAATTATTATTAATGTTGTGGATACTGTTTGCATTTAATTGTTAAGTTGGTAATATTCCAAAACTGCAGAGCGATGTATGCATATTAATAACTTCTTTAAAGCTAAGAATTTTAATTCTCCAGAAAACGTAAAATTTCCTGATTTTTCGTCGATTTCTCTGACATTTCCTTATAATTTCCAGTTTTGTGATAACCTTTTATTTCGTTCAGAATAGCACTATACGTATATTTTACCCTATAATAATAGGACACTTGTCGAGAAGTCAATTAATTAAAAAGGAACAGAACTGTATTGAGAGGAAAATTCGATGAAATTAAAATCGTAGGTCTCGCAGTCTTTTTCATCTATCTCATTAATCGTGAACGAATGTCATTCGTCCGCAAGTCACGCTCGGGATGTTTCACGAAGATTGCAAACGTGTAAAATCTTTGAAAGGGCCCCTCGAACGAAAGGATACTACTACTCTGCGAGAATATTGCCTCTTCGGGGGAAAATGTTGTACATTTATACACCGACGACGGCATCCTTTTTACGTTGATCCCAAGTCGTTACAAAGTAGATCGACCACTTTTATCAAGCAAGGGTGTTAGGAGATCGAAGTACGGAGAAGATATAACTTGGAATATATGTGTGTGTGTGTGTGTGTGTGTGTGTCTGAATGTGAGAAGAGAATCCACGAGATATTCTCTTCTCCTCCTCTGTGACGTTACTTTCGTCGCTATACGGCGGTAACTCATGGGCTAAATTAGAAAGTCGATACAAGTTTTAATTGGATAAGTTACTTTGAGAATCTAACTTTCGTATTTGAGTCGTTTCGTAAAGCCGCTACAGAGAAAATGTTAAGGAGATCTACCGTTGTAATGAAATTCGGGGGCACGCCCGCAATACGGCGCGGCGGTGTCATGAATTTGTATATCGACAAACAGAACGTCAAGATGCAAATAATACATATTACGTGTCAATTGTAATATCGCTCAATTGGAGACCGTGACAATGTTAATTTTTTCCTTCCTGAGAAAAAGTGAAATTATTTTGGCAACAATTTTACTGACGTTTCTGAAATTTCAGTACCTGCAACTAGTTTCGTAAAGCAGTAAAAACGAGAGTACTGTACAAGTATTAGTTATAGTAACAACGTATATGAACTAATTGATAGTCATTACAATCATTAATTGATAGTAAAATAGTGACTCATCCATAATTACATAGCCCTGCGGAAAAATAAGATATGACAAAAATATCTTTTCCTAGTCTAAGCAAATGTTTTTTTTTTAAATTAAATAATGTAGTAATAACTAATTAATTTTTTTACAAATAATAATCTCCTACAATTACTATATAATTAATATTTTACAATACATATAGAAGCGCTGTTTTCAAATGTTCAGTTACCCAACTAGAAATTTGAATGAAAACATTTTTCGTTCTACGAAAACATTATGTAAAAGTAGAAAAAACATTTTTTTTTACTTTTACGGAATATTTCCAGTTATCATAACTACATTTTAGTTATCACAATCAGAACATTATTTCTGTGTATGTATACTTGAATATAAAAGATTCCAGGGAGATTTGAGGTTCATTTTCTATGGAGCAAGTATATAGATGACGCAAATATTGTGGAAGGTAAAATTATTTTATCGCGTAATTATTACACGGTAAAAATAGTTCGTGGCGAGCGACGTTCTTCGGAAATTACGAAAGCCGACGAATATATACGCGCGTTGACAAGCCGCGGAGCATTGCTGTTGTAACCGGCGGGTGTGCGTTGTTCGCGATGGAGCATTTGGGCGAGCTAGCAGCTCCTCGCGTGTTCGCATAAAAGTCATCGCGCAGATGTTTCTTCCTTTTCAGCGATGCATTTTCGCGGACGCACACGCAACGCGGTTCGCCGCGATCGGACCTGTTGCAGCTGCAACACGAAAGACGATATACGCGGACCCGTTCTCGCGACGGCCGACGTGTGGTGTGGAAGCCTTTTCACCTACTATCGTGTTTCCTCGCCTCGCGCGACGCCTTGCGTTACGTGTCACGTTGGTTCGTCGACATTTTTATTATTCTGCCAGCCGACGACGGTTCGACGCACCGCGCCGATTATGCAAACGCGACGCCGCATTCGCAGCTTTTTTCTTACGTATATATGCACGCGAGAAAAAACGGTCGCGCGGAAGCCTCCGTTAATAACCAAGGATACGTCGCGCGAGTCAAAGTTCAGTGTCGGATGTCCGAAGAATGGTATATCGTAATGCGAGAGCTGAGAAATCCTTTTACACTGCAGATATAAGGATACTCGAGAACTTCCGAAATATTTATTTCAGCCACGTTGTGTAATCCGGTAAATAATCCGAAGCGACCAAAACGATCGTAGTTAATTTTATAGAATCACCAATGATGCCATTTTGGCATCATTCGACAATCATGTCGATTTTTTTCTTTCTTGCGTTAGATATACAGTACAGAATATTAAAAATATGTGGATATAATATGAATAAATAATACTAAAATAATTCTTCAATAATCGAAAAGAATAAGAAGTTATCAAATTGACAGTTTTCAATTCTAGCAGGATATCATCTGCGATTAGTGTTAAACCTAAATGAATCAGCTGTTTCACGGAACAGTCCCATTTTTGGAGTGCTGTCCTGCTGTCTCGTATTAAATGTTTCAATTTAAGCACATCGTAGCAAAATATTTACTAAAAAATGTTATATAAATTTTGTAAATTATAAAAATGCACGGAATATGTATTAAGTTTCAGGAAATAACGCAATGGTTGAATGTTTTCTCTGCAATGAACAAAGTGTGGACAGCGGAAAAACTCAACACACTTTGAATTTGTATTTTAATAACAAAAATTTCAGTTGTCAAGAATTGTATACACTTTTTAAGAGAGAACGCATTTTCATTATTAAAGATGATTTCGAATGATAAATATGAAAAAGTAATCGTATTACTTTTTAAAAATAGATAACTATTATTGTATTTATGTTTTATATTTGTATCCTTTATATTTTATGTTTTATCCCTTTTCGCTTAATAAAGTTAATTGTTTTGCTGTAGGTCTGAAGATACCTGACTACATAAATTACCTGAATAATAAAAAAACATTTTCCCACGCGGTTTTAATATTCAAGTAGAATCACGGTCGTTAAATTCAATCGTAACTTCGCAGACGGTACACCAAATACTTTGAGGAGCGCGTGTATCCTTCCCTCGAAGAAGTTAATGCTGATCCCTCGAGTAAAGATACGAGACAGTCTCGAGACTTATCGAGCGTTAAATAATTGAGGAAAGGTCGACGATTGCTTCGTCGACGTTGTATTCGAGCACTGTGTATTTCACCGCTAAAAATGCCGATAAAAATGTCACCGTGTCTCTACTCGGCGCGCTCGTCCACTCGGTTTAATTATTCGGAATCGTGTTGCTTGCTTTTTGCGCATCGCGTGCTTACTCCGAGTGAGCGCGGGTTGAAGGGTAGATAATTGGAAAAAACAAAGCATTTATCAGTAGTGCTTTATCGCGACGCGCCACTATATAGGTAACATGGACTGCATAATAAACGGCCCGCTTATTATTATTGCATTGTCGGTAGAACTTGTCGGTAAACGGATTATTCACCGTCGTCCCTGGTGACGAGGGTCAGGATTATCAAGAGCGAATCTGGAGAACCTTGAACCGCTCTCGCGACAGTAAAGTCATCTGGCGCAAGTACGACGACGACGACGACGACGATACATTCATATTCATAGGACGGATCTCAGTCTCTCTTTCTTAGAGTAGTCACAAATTTCTTTACCCTAAAATTTCATAACTTTGCCAAGATTGCCAGACGGTAATAATTAAAAATTTTTTCCGAACTTAAATATTTTGTTAAGATTAATTTAACATAACAACGTAAATTAATATTAATGTTGCTGACTTTGTTTGCATTTTTAATTATTAAGTTAGTAAAATTGTGTAGGTGTGATGTACATTAATTTCTTTAAAGCCAAGAATTTTGCAAAGTTTCCTGACTTTTCCCTCATTTCCATTTTGTAGCAACCTACTTTTGTAGCAATTCTGTGCTTTCTGCTTTCTCTCTTTTTGGTAAACCTTTATAGTTCGCCTTTGAAAAATGCTGCAATGGAAGAGCAAAGTAATTATTTTATAGTTGGCCGCTGTAAAACTGCACGATGAAACGCACAAGGGATACACAAACGAGTTTGTTCGTTCCTATTGAAGTCGCCGCTCGAGATATTCAGCCGCAATCGAAACGCCGATTATCCACGAGCGCGTATATTTCTTGAATAAAATCGCAGCGCGTCAAGGATCAAATTTGCATGACAAATAGCGAGGTACGCGAGGAGATCTTACTTCGTTAGACTTCTATCGCGGATACATACTTCCTACGAACGTATTAACTTGAAGCATTTTCTGTGGGTATCACGAGAGATGGGGATAATGCAATAAATTGTTCCTCAGCCCTTCACGGAACTCCTTCACTTCAAAGTGGAAAGGTAAGGAGAATGGTAAGTGGAAGTCAATAAGGTTATCCGGGTTTGCTCGGCCGGTCGTTTATACTAACGAGTTCGTTGCATAACAATACGGAAATGATAAACTTACCTGTAAACGCCGTAGTGTTTGCCACTCGCTCGGTCGCCGCAGATCGAACACAGATGTTTGCTGCCCGACAAGGGGTGATTAGGCGGATAAGGCGTGACCGTTTTGCTCTGGCCGTTGGGCGATGTACTCAGGAGGTTGCTGTGACAACCAGCATTGAAGGGTCTTTACATGCAAAGCAGAGAACGATCGTCTATAAGATCTACGCCGCTACAACCGTAGCATGCACATTTCGGAACCCTGTACTAATTTATAGATCGCGAAAGATGCACCCTTCGGAGATGACGGTGAGTCTATTGGACTCACTTAACTAATAAATCTCTTTGTGTCAAAAAAATATCAAACAATTTTATGTTCTTTATGTTACACCTACAGATTTGAATTATTTTTACTAAAAACATACTATAAAAATGCAAAAATGTCAAACAATTCAATTTTCTTTATGTTACATCTACAAATTTTGTCTTATTAAAATATGCTTGATACTTTTTTTTTATACGCTCATGTCTGTATTTACCATCTTTTGGTTCCTTGAAATTAATTAGTGCCTTTTAATTAATATACATAGCTCCTTGATAAATACGATAAATTTTCAGTCCTTTACACCTTCAGTCCTTTGATGGGTCGTTCATGGATTAATTTTTATCACTTTTACAAGACAACAAAAATTATTAGTAATTTTTTTTCTTATATATTATAATTTAACGTCTTTAAAAATATTTATAAATCATTTTGCATTTAATAAGAGATGATAGAAATTATTATTTAGTCAAGTGCTTCAAATATTTCAACGAAAATTAATGTACAAGCCACGAATGACTCAATCGTGTGTGCTAACAAGTTAAATGAGTTTTGTAGCGTCAGTAACTGTGTTAGATTTTGATGTTAATTTCCGGAGGGTTAAAATCTTAGGAAATCGCGTCAAGCGATAACTTTTGTAATTCATTCTTAAAGAGATAATCGCAAAAATTCTCTTCATAAAAGAGATCGTTTAAAAAATTTGGTATTAAATCTAGTTTTTTATGTTAATAAATATTTACTAAGAATAAATTAAACTACAATAAGTATATTTACTGAGAAAGTAAAATGTTATAAAAATATTTACCCTGGGCTGTTAGGACCCGACGGGCTGAAGTTCCCTGCGTTGATAAGGGCTGTGTCGGGCTTCAAGTCGAGAGGACTCTGCGGACCCACCGATGACATCGACATATTGCTGTTATCTAAACTCAGCCCTGAAACAAAAAAAAAATCGAATTTATTTCCTCAGGATTTCACTTAGACTCCATTAATTTTATTAATATTTATATTCGTTTCGTATTCGATGCTATTACGTATATACGCGTCGTTCTTCCGTTCAGAAACTTTTTCAGACGTCGTACGATCACGTGCAATAAAGAGCAAGAAATCGCCTTCAATGCAAATCACAGGCAATTCTTGATGTTGCGTGAGTAGCGCATCTATTATGCGAGCGGAGCTTCGCGGTTGGTATCCTTTCTAAAGCGGTGAAAGGGCGAAGATCAGCAGTCAGGCGCCTTTTCCGCGTCTTCCGCGTCCTTCGACATTCCTCTTGCACGAGAACGACGACGCCTCTCGATAGCGAATGCTATACCAGCGCCAGTTGGCGATTTACAGTTACGGCAAAATCCGAGATGTGAATCGTAAAGTTTTAGATTTGATCGGATCTTCGAGAAGAAAGTTCGTGCTCACCGCAAGAGAAAGATAGGAGCGGGTTCTGCTCTCGAAGGTTGAGCGAAATTACGCGATCACGAGACGCACGAGCGCGCGAGTGCGAAGTGCCAATGGTTGCACGAAAGCACTTATTTTACCCTTAACGTGTCTCATTCGCCTCGCGAAGACTCTCATTATCCGAGAATTCTCTCCTCGGCATCACGTGAATGTGAATTTTTTTTCTCTCGCCGCGGGACGAGAAGATTGCACTTTACGTGCCGATAATATCTCTGATATTAAGTGTGATAATATTAAGATGATAAGTAGTAATATACACTATATTTAATCGACAAATTGAATATTTATTACCTATCTAATTGAGGAAAGCTAAGATCTTATAAGTTTAAAAGTAGCGGCGACTTTGATACTCGACGCGATCTTTGGATAAGGAGTGTCTAATGGAATGTAGACTCCACGCTTGAAGGATTACTAGAAGGATTTATGAACATGAGAATCTATCGTTAGGATAATATGAATTGAGTGGTTCAAGTGCATCATGATTCAAAGTGAGAACTGTTAAATTCATAATGTCAAATTAAACTTATAATATGAGTTATTTTTAATTATTTCTATAAGACGTCACTGCTTCTACTCCATACGTTATGCTTCTACTCCATCGTTAATTTAACTAACAAGGCAATAGAGTTAAACAGTTTAAGTCAAGAAATATATCAAATGTATTGACTCAAATTTAGCTTATTATTTACTAATAGCGTATATGTTGATATTGTTTAAGCGAGAAGCACGCAGACTCTTACATAATGCATAACGCATAATCCATAAGAAAATGAACCAAAGTCCTTCATTGTCCTCCTTTCCTTTGAAAAAAAATTAAGAATTCTGATTGATTGATTTTCTTATGCGTTATGCAAGAGTCCGTGCTCTCGACTTCACTCTTTGAAACTAAGAAATTCAACCACAGAAAGAAATTACTCAACATTTTTATACACAAAAACCAGAAAATTTAAAATAACAAAATGGTAATTAATTCACCACCAACAATATAAATTGAAAATTTTCTCTTGGCAATAAAGGTCTTCGAGAAACAGCAAGTTTTTTTATTATTTCAGATTATATAAAATTCTAAAAAAATTCTAATACACTTGTCAAGGACTTTAACAAATTTTTACCATCACAGGAATCAAATTGTATTTTAATTATTTTTTACATACACATTATGTTTATCAATTTATGTATCAAAATGTTAATCGTGTTTTTAAAGATTCCAGAGAATTAATTCAATGAATTAAATTGGCCCCATTAATACTATAATATCTAACAGTGTAAAAGCAAAAGTGTAAATTTCAAAGTTTGTCAAATTTTTCCAGATTGGCATACGATATTTATGACTTTAAACGTCTGGAAGGATTCGACCGTAACAACGCAAAGACCTGCGAAAGTGAGAGTTGGTGTGGAAGCAAATACCCGAGGGAGCAAAAACCCTATGAAACGAGGGGATCCGTGAAAGTGGTCTTCTATATAAAAGGGTCTGGTTTCACGCAATTGAGAATACCGACGTTTGTATTAGGAGCTCATTTCGTCGGCATAAGGTGTGAGATTACCTAAAAAGACGAGTCTGCAGCAAAATCTTGCAGAAATACGAATCGAAATGCTCTGTGATGAATGAAACGAGAATGCTTCTCTCCCATTGACCACAAGACATCGCTAATTTTGTGTCCGTTGTACTGTCAATTTTGGCATGACAGTCTCACGGAATTACAGAGTATTGATCCTTACGATACATTTCCCTTCATGCGGCTCCCTCGAGTGTTTATCGGTCGTCTCGACGGTCTCCTCCCTCTTAACCCTCCATGGTATGGATTCATCCTCCCTAGAGGGAGAGAGGTTCTTTTCCATCGCACAAAAAACCAATCCATTTTTGCGCTCGGCGCTTATTCCCTTTAACGGTGACGAAGTAATCGATGGAGGATTATGTTTCGCGAAAAAAATCTCCTTAGAAAATTTGCGTCGCTTATTAGTAATAATCCTTTCAAACGTCAAGCAATTTTGAAACTATCTCATGACACAGATATCGAGAATAAAGATAAAAAAACTGATTGTCAAAGATAGCATCTTCCGTTAGTTGGAAAAGCTGAATTAATAACTAATACAGCATTTATTAATATTCTACAGTATTAATCCCATAAATTGCTAATTGTGCTATGTCACTTCATACAGACGTTGACAGTAAAATTAATTGCTGTCTATTTAAAATTGTCATCCTAAACTATAAAAGATACTTTTTAATAAATATATTTATTTAAATAGTTCTAAGTAAATATTTACTAAAAAAACACACTATTTATCTGATACAAAAACTATTATAATTAATTTAATTATATTTTTAAAATAAATATTTATTTACTGTAAGTATAAATGAATGCTTACGTAGTATTATTCAAAGAAATTTGTATTAAGATTTAATTTTAAAATGAAGTATTTTTTCGGTGTATCGAGCACGGAGCAACGCCTTCGCGCTTATTATTGTACAATTCTCAATCAGCAGTAGTAATCATCTGGCGTGAACCGAATGAGTCGTCTCTCCCCGACGACCTTGTCTGACCATCGCGGGCATTTTTCACTTTCTATATATTCAAGCGGCCGACCAACCCATTATTGCTCGACGATGATGAGCCCCCGGTCCTCGCACCTCGGCCTCGCGTTTTCTCCCGCACCGTGGGAGTTAGGGTGGAACGTCCGGGAAGATAAATGACATTTTAATCGACTCCAGACACGATCGTCGAGGGACGCGATGTTGACGAATGTTTGCGAGACGACAAAGGAAGGAGACGGTATTAAGCCCCGTCTGGACGATCTATAATTCGGAGACAGAATTCTATCCATTATGGACCGAAACTGTAAACAAAATTTGTGGAAAGAAACCTTTCGCGCGTTGAGACTTCGCAAATATTCTCTCCTGAATTCTGATCTCGAATTAAAAATCTGAAAATCGTCTTTTTTAAAGGTATATATATTAAGAAGCTTATTAAACATTTCCAGCAGTTTTATGATACTTTTCGTAATTTGAATCTCTTTCTGCGAGAAACGAATATGAGAGCTTTAGAAATTTTGGAATCTTAAGTTTTGTTAATTCTATCGTGGATTTTAGATCGTCTAAAATGGGCTTTATAGAAGGTGCCGCATCAACGAGCGTTCGTTCAGACGATTCGCTGTTGAGGACGCGTCAAGTGCATCGGTAATTGCACGCCTGACGTCACTCTCCATCGCTCTCTGTCTTTCTCCTACGCTCTTTCTCGGTTACTTTCCGATCCATTCGGCCGACTCGCTCGGAAGCGCATCACTAACCGACAAATGCGCAGCAGACAGATAGATTGGGATTTATGGCGCTGATGCCACTGCACCAGAAATGACCGCCAAGAAAACCATCGATGGTCACTAATCAGTATGAAAGACAGTACCAACTTTTTTTATAACAGGTACCGAAAAATTCCAAAATCTACGCGAAAAGAACAATTTTGTTGTAGTATCTAAAAATTTAGATAACTACATATATTCAATTTTTATTTTTGTTAATAAAGATTATTACGTTAATAAATTAATTGATATATAATTTGTTCGCCCTGTTTTTACATATTGCTTTAAAAATAATTTTATTGAACATCAAAATAATTATGAAAAAACTCAAGCATTATAAGCGATACAGCAAAAAGTTTTGACATTTTAGTTTGCGAGTGTCTTACATAATTATTTTGACAGTTCCATAAAATTACTTTAGATCTTTATTTAATTAAATTTTCAGACTTCAGCAAAGTAGTTTTTTTGTATGTTAACATCACTGGACATAATGTTTCACATACGTAATAATACGGTAAAAAATATTACAGCAATTTATTGAACATAAATTATCAAGTATCAAATGTAATTATAATAATTATAATTAGTACACAATTATTTATAGTACGTAATCAAATAATTTATATTTATAGTATATAATTAAATAATTGTGTACAGTTACATACACATTTTTTAATTATATACAATTATTTAAAAAAATCAATAAGTTCTCTCTCTCTCTCTCTCTCTCTCTCTCTCTCTCTGGCTTATTAACAATGAGATATCCGTTTTCATAAAAACTGCAGTCGGTTAACGATATACCCTCGGATAATATCGATTCTTTTTCTAAGACGTCAAACGCCGCGCCACACCGGGAGAGAGAGAGAGAGAAAGAGAGAGAGTGAGAGAGAGAATATGACGATTATTTTTAGGCCAATGCAACGGCCAGCGAGCGACCGATGCGCATTACCTATATCGGCCGCTGGGAGTTCGTGGACCGAGAAGGAGCGAATGTTCGATCAGGAGAGGCCGAGCTGAGCCGAGCTGAGCCGGTGAAACGGGGCCACCACGTGGCCGCTCCGGTGACCCACAAAATGATTTATGCGGTCGATCCGAGACCGTGGAGAGTTCGCGCTGGAATTATTCCATGGATGCTCGGCTCGCGCGCTGGTAATTCGCGATAACGACCCAAGGATCGAAATAGCACGCG